GGGGGTGGAGCAGGGGAAGAGACATCTAGATCCTGTTGCAGACCCTAATACCCTCAGGTCTCTAACAATCCTGATGTAGGAGGTTACATGTGGAATAATGAGCCCTGTTTTGGGTCCCTCAGTACCAGAGGTGTAGCAACAAACTGGAGAGAGTCCGTCCAGCAGAAGTCCACTGTGATAGGTAGGGACTGTTGTGTATCAGAAATGGAGAACTGGATTCTTTGAACCTAAAGAAGAACAGATTAAGGTGAGGGAAGCTAATCACCATTTTTAGGTAGCTAAAGATGGAGCCAGGCTCTTCATAAACTCCCAGCAAGAAACAAGAGGCACAGTCATGGATTGCAGCAAGAAGAACTGCAGCTGGACATCAAAATCAGTGTTTTTATACAATAAAAGTGGTTAAATTGTAGAACAGTTTACCCAGAGAGGTTGAAAGTATCTATCGATGGAAATTCCACAAAACTTGTCTAGACAAGGCCTTGACCAACCTGACCTAAGTTACAAGTTGGCCCTGCTTCAAGTGGGGGACTGGACTAGAGACCTACAGGGGTACCTTCCAACTCAGGTCATTCTGTATTAACTGCCTTTTTAGCAGCTGTTGGTAAATATTTTGGGCTTCATTTTTTCCTTTCGGTTTACAGTTGATTTTTTTGAGTTCTGGGTACTAGTGGAACATGGTGGGAGAGATGCTTTTAGGGTGCAGTTTTACAGTTGTTAAAGCTAGTGCTGCCTTCCTGCTCTTTCATTCCTATGCCTGTCCCTGTATTGGCTCCGATGCTTGTCTGTTACCTGAAGTGAGTTGGTTTCAGGGTGCTAAATCTTTCAGGAAATTAGATCAGCAAAAATTCCGCACAGGTTATAGATTGGGAAGAGGAGATTGAGAACCACGAATGACATTTTGTGGTGAAGGTGAGAGGACAGAGGTGCTTGTTTAGATCAGCTTAAACAGTTAATGGTGCTGCACTGCAGTAACTGACTTCAGAAGTCATTAGTATAGTTTTTAGTGCTTAATTCACAGAGCTGTAATGGCTATACACAGATTTTCTTCTGGACTCAGCCATGTCAGTCCACCCCAGGAAGACATTACTGCCTCCAAGCCATTCTGTAACTCATCTCTACCCCTCTGCTCAGAGCCGTGGCATCTTCTGATCTTCAGGTGAACCTTTTCTGACCTGTTTCATTCCAAATCTTCAGGGATAACCGAGATAGCTAAACCAGGTCACAGGGGCTGATGTTGGTCTGAATGAATCAGGCAAACAGTCTGCTCCTAGGGACTTCAGCAGAAGGATGGTGATGGAGGAGGCAGCATTTGGTGTTGCCATCTGTGCAACAAATGTTTCTCTGCAGTGTCTGCCTGTTGGATAGCTGCCTGGCTGGTGTAGACTTAAATTCACCTTTGTAATGCTAACCTTGTGCTTTTAAGTTAACTCAGTTCTTTTTTGGGGTGAGGGAGTTGAACTTATGTTCATGTGAACAAATGATGTTACATGTTTGATTCACTCTGTTTTGTATTCTGCAAAACTTCCTTTTGATCTATTTTGTTCAGTGCTGTGTTAAAAGAAACTGAACATTGGTAGGGCAATATCCATAATGTTTTGGCATTCCCTCATCATGATTACAAATAATGTATTACTTTTTGTTACTCTCAGATAAAATTGTTCCTTCTGCTTTATGCAGAAAGATAGAAGTAAATGTTGATAACAGCTAGAGAACTTAAACAAGGTTTTGACTACACAAATCCTTCTTCAAGCCTGAAGTAAAAGTGGAATAAATACCAGTTGAGAACAATTGCTGAGAGTCTTAGGCCATCTCTGAAAGACAGTAGTTACTATCTCTTGATTGTAAAATATATGGAGCATGGGGAGGGAGGGTGAAATGGTTTAAATAATGTTTATGCAATTAAACTCTGCCAAGGCACAATCCTAATCCTTGGAATATCCTTCCAATTTATCTAACTGGTAGAATTCACAGTTTAAAAGTATATTTGATTCAATCACAAGACTGCTAAAAATATCTTGCAGGTATTCTAGATTTACCAGTCTTTGTCCCATGTGTTTTGTGGTACGGTTTTATCTTTTGGTCTTTCTGAATTTGTGCTGTCCTACTTGGTGAATGTTTCATGCAGCAATATCTCTTGGCCACAAAATAGTTTCAGTGATAACTGGCTTCTATTCTTCTGTGTTTCTCTTCTTAAAAATGATGTGCTAGATGTTGTGTGTACTTCCCCCAAGTTCCTCTACTTGGCATTTGTGTGTCATCTTGCAAACTATAGTTTTTGCAGATAGGATGGCTGTGTATGTTGCCTGCTAAAATAATTGTGATAGTGCACCGAGTGGTCAAAAAATGGAATTCAGGATTATTGATTTTACTGTGAGCGTGGGATTTAGCTTTAACTTTTGAAAATCAGATACCTAGTCTAAGCTAACGAACTAGGCAGCTCCAGAAGATAATTCATTCTCCCCTCTCTCATGCTTGTTGGTTGAAATAAACCTCCAAGTGGGGAACTTTTTCTCTCTTAATTGCTTACAATTTACATAATAAATTTAGCTAGATGCCAAACTTTTAGATGGTTGAAAATTCTCCCTGATTTAAATGCTCTTAATGTCTTTTGGACAGACACTTAAAACTGTGGTTGTGCTTATATTTTTGTTTCAGATGGACCCTACTAGAATTTCAAAAGAACACGCACACTGTGTCAGAACACTTTTTGGACATCAAGAAAATACAGATTTGCATGATACATCCTTTGAAAATCAAGAAGCGAAGTTAATGCCAGAATCATGTAGAAGCATGAAACAGGCTCTCCAAAGAGCTGTGCAGAAGGTAAGTGGTAAAAAGACTGTGTGTTCCTTCATTTTGTGCTCTTGTTGAACTTAGAACATTTTTTTTCCACTATCTATATTCAGAGGTAAGTTCTGAAAAGTATTTTCTGGTGTTCAAATAATACCTGAAGTTGTATCCAAGACTGTATTGTGTTTGCTCATGGAGATCTGATGATGGTTAACCAATTTTGTATCTGGTAATGGTCAACATTTTTTTTAAGAAAGGAAGACTTGACGTTGTCCTGAGAAAACTATGATTGCGAGTAGTTGATTGGCCATTCTGACATTTGGATGGACCTGAATGGTAGTCGTTTACCCTAGTATTTGTATAGGTTTGCCAACACTTTGGATGTTTGTAAGAAAGGACAGTTCCACATTTTTTTCAAAGCAATCTTGACTCTGTTTCTGACAAGATTTTCCCAAGTCAACGTTATCAACAAGCAAAATATTGCCTGAAAGTCAGAGGAGGTAACATTTGCTCTTGTTTCTTAGTCTTTTTGCAATGCAAAATGAGGGATAGCATCTCCTTTTTCTTTGCTCATTTTGCCCGATCTCGGTTCTGTGCAGACCATTCCCACCTGGCAGAAGAGCTACTTTGCCATAGCAGGATAACTGGACAGTCTTTGCCCAGCAGTTCAGAATGACAGCTTGTTCCCAAACACAAATAGCAAAAGTAGTCAGCTAAAGAAGGCCTAAAGAAGGCCTAACGAAGAAGCCTAGGCAAGCTGGATATATGTCACAATCACCTCTTACTTCAGTTACTGCCTTTGATCTTGCATGTTCATGGTAGTGTGTAGTGCTAGTTATGGGCTGTTTAAAAGCTGAATGTCTGCTATGGTATTTGGTTTTCCTGGCTTACCAGGCCTGTTATTACTTCTTCGCATCTGCATAAGACTGTCAGTTTTTCATAAAGGATACTACATTAGACGTGAGCTGAACTTACGTACACTTCTCAGAGGGAATTGTACTTGAGTTAATTGTGTGGTATGTTAATTCTTCTAATGCTTGCTTTTAACGGAGTACTCTGAGTGACAGATCTTTTTGTGAACAAAACTTAAAGAAACCTAGGAGTTCATGTCTTGTCCCATTTGCTAGCCACCTGCTTGAAAAGCTTAAGGGGAAAAAAAAAAAGATTCACTCTGTGGGATTAGTTCCATCTTCCAGCATTTTCTAGACTGTCTCACACTACACCTAAATCTGTGTTCTGTGTGCTGGTACTAGACTGCTCATTCATGCAGCTCCCATGACAGAGTAGGGAGTTTGTTACAGTAAGTGAATGGGAAGCCCTGTATTCTGGTCATTCGCTGCTGGTTACTCAACAAAGGCATTGGCTTTAGTTGAGGCTGCATATCCTGCCATTCTTGGATGGAGGTTAAATGCTGCAATGTCCGTGGCCAGGGTAAGTAGTGAGTAGAGATAACTTTTCGTGACTGATGACCATTAGTTTCAGAACAATAAAATTTCCCTTGCCAAAGTAACCAGACTCTGAATTTCCTTTGAATGCAACAGAATGTGTTAAGCAGCTGGGTCAGTGTTCTGGATGCTTTGTCATCATATATTGATGGCACAGAAAAATAGGAAAATGCTTGCTGGGGTACATTTGCATCTTTGCAGGGTATCAGAGAAGTGAAAGAAACAGTATTAAGGCAAAATTATACTTTGTCATGTTCTGTAAGCTCTGCCTTTCATTGGCTCTGCTACAATGAAGGGCACAGATGCAGCTGAATCTTACTTCCAGTTGTGCTAGACCTTTATGTGTGGGAATGCAGATAATGTGGCTTGAAAGAGGTTTCCTGTCATCTGTGCTTTCTTCACTTTCCTGGAGGACAATCTATCCTGTGTGTGTTTTAAGAACCAGTATCCTTATTTGAACTGGCAACATGTTAAGTGACTGAAATGGAACCCTTTAAAATATTGTTTAAGTTTTGTGATTTTTTCAATATTTTGTCTTTTGCAATTCAAGCTGTTCAGGAAATGAAAATAGACAACTTGCTTTTGCTCAGGTTTATGGTCTGGTTGCAGCTTTTAATCTTACTGCACTGGTTCACATCTGTTTTCTTTGCACACCTGTAGACCTAGTGCTTAAATCTAAAGCAGGGATTGATGTTGAAAATGAAAGTGGTCTTATGAAAACCAGTGTAGTAGGGCTGAGAGGTCAGGTCTAGAAACATTTGTCTCCTTAAAAAATTATAATAATTAAAGATTTTCTTTTAGTCAAAATCTAATGGTGAATTCCTTAACATATTCCAGGATAAAAATACTGCTTAGGGAGCAGCTTACTCAGTAGAAAGCACATTTTTGATATTGCATATAATCTTTCAAGCAGACAAGTAATATACTTTCCTAGCCTGCCTTAATTTTTTTTGCATGTAACCCTAAAAACCTTTTGGCAGTCCAGATGCACTAACCACAGTTCTTATGAAGTCTGTTATGAGCCTGAAGTAGGAAGGACTACAAACATATCTTGAGTCAATTCATAAGTAACTTTTCTTGGCAATGCTCCCAGCTTCTAGCAGCTTGGGGAGTTCAGGCATAAACTAGTCTCCCACATGGCAACAGAGTACTTTGCTAGACCTCCAGGGCAGCACTTATAAAGAGATCTATATACTCAGCAGACTTTTAAAGTGCGTGTAGTTATGGACAAAGTCAAGGTTTCACAAGTGATTTCTGTAAGTTGTTAAAATTTTAGTTTCCATCCTACAACCTTATGTGCCTTTTTTTTTTTTTCTGCAGGCAGTAGACTACTCATTTGGGTAGAGGTTGTAGTGCTGATCTCTAAACTATCTTCTGATGAATATTGATTCATGTACTTTCTATTTCACTTCATTCCTGATTAGCATGCTTTAAACTGCTGAATTTCTGGCAAGATAATCAGATACTTCTTCCTGGTATTGGCTGGACTTGAAGCACTCGGGTAGTAGAAGAAACAACTGCAGAAGGGAGTTTTAATATCACAGCTGAAGCAGTAACGTGAATGTCCAGAGGGGTTCTCTTCTGATTGGTCTCAAAAAGCAACTTTTAGCTGCTCAGAATAGATACCGAGGTAGTGTAAAAGCTGAAGGAGAGGAAAAAAAGTTCACCAATGTCACATGTTCAAATGTAGCCTTGTCTCTGCATCCTCAACATTGGACAAAACTTGAAGGGCAAGAGTTGGTTTTGTTTTGAAGATGCTAAGGGTTAAAACCTGGAGCCTGCTGTGGATGAGGAAATAGCAGTTCCCAACTTTCCAGGCACTTAAAGCACGATTTTAGCTTTTAAAATGTGAAAGTTTTGCAGCTTCCAAATGGCCTCTTAATTTTTTGGATGAAGGAAGACACATTTTTCATTTGTGACTGGCTGCTTGTCTGTTGTTTAAACAGTGACTGTGTGAAGGAGGTTGGAATGTGGGAAGCAGGCCAGCAGAGTTGACTTGGTGGGCAGTAAGCAAATGACGCAAAGGTGTACAAGTGCAGCTTAGCGCAAGAATAACGGAGTGGTGTGATTTTTTTTCTGTGTGATTTTTTTGTGTACGTTTTTTCTAAAAATAACTAAACAGCTTGGTGGCACACATGGTTCTGTGGGTGGCGGTCTTAAGAGAAGTCACTGGTAATATTTTGTCAGCAGTTTTCATGCCATTATAGCAGTGTCTTAGTGACAGGTTCTGTTGAGCTGTTTCTGCTTTCTTAATGGTAGTATACATTGTGATAAGGTATGAGATGCTTAAAGACATTCAGGTGCTAAAGAATACAGTTGATACTTTAAAGATTTGGAAAATCCTGGCTCTTCATTCTTTGTAGCAAGGATACCAGGGGATTTTTGTAATACCACTAAGAGGCCATCTTTAGAAATCTGGATATCTTCAGACATCCACTGAAAAATGTGGTCCTTGAGTCCTGCAGAGTCAGAAGCAAGTACATGCTAAAATGCTTTTCTAAGGTAGGTTGTGTATCAGCACCTTGGAACTGTAGAAACATGAAGTAAAAAAATCAAGTGTTGACCTTCTTAGTCTTCAAGAGGAAACCCACAGCTCCATCTCTGTTATCTAGAGACTAATTCATGTATTTCAGCTTTCTTTTGGAAGTCTGGGCAACAGAACAGAAAGGGATATCAAAATTTTGTGGGACTGGTTGGAATCAAGTATAGAACTTCACACTAGCCCAGTGTTTGGAAACAGCTGATGGAGGATTTCTGTTTTCTGGCCCCAGGCTAGCCACTTCTAATCCAGTGACAATCACACAGAGAGTCAATGAACATGAGCCAGTCCCCAGCTCTTCTCAGTGCATTAGTGTTGGGTTCATGCTTATCATCTCCCTTTTGATGTAATGACACTTGCATTCCTAATTGCATACTAGCTTAGCTTCAAGAGGAGTATAGGAGAGTGTTCCTGTCAGGGAGAGATGCTCCTAGGAAACAGGAAAGTAGGCTCAAGACCATCAGGACAAGGAGAGTTGTGGACCCAAGTCTTCCTGGGTGGCTGTTCTGCTTACCAAGTAGTGATGTTGCAGATGAACAGCACCACCAACAGTTAGAAAGCAAGCAGTTCAGACTGCATTTTGTGTAGACCACAGCTTTTCCGCATGGAAGATGAGCTGAGTCAGTCTGCTAGATCTCAGGTGGTGAGGTACCCAGCTGCTCAAGCTAGAGCATCTTTGGGAATGTGCAGAAGCAGAATTCTCTACTCCTAAGAGAAAGGTAGGTTAAGAGGAGGATAGCAACTGGCCAGTTCAGGGACTTCAAGGGCTGTGCAGTTACCAACCATGGGGTTTTTTTTTTAGTACCAGTTTAGATAATAGGAGATTAAAATGTACGTCGCTCTTTTTGGATCTGCCCAGTAGGCTCTCCAGGTAAGGACGTTATCACATCCTCAAGAAGGAAAGGATGTGAAAGCAGACTCCACATCTGAGAAATTTCCATTAAGAAAGCAAGAAAACAAAGGAGTCTCCCCTCTCTAGGGAAAGGGTTGGGAACAGGTGCGGTACAGTAATGTCTGAGAGTGTGGTCCATCTCCCAGTCTCTTGTACCTTAAGTTCTATTCTCTTCAGAGGCTTTTGCTACTTTTTGTAGTATCTAGTACTTGCAGGTTTTTTAGTTGTCTTCCTCCTTCTGCTGAAGTTAAAGACCTCAAGTGGTACTAGAGGCTGCTGCTGGTGTGCAGCTCCTAGAACTGAGCTTCATTTTCATGCTCCTAGAACTGACATTGAAGTAGGAAGATCAGAGAGGGGAAGTGAATGTAAATGGGGGAGGTGGACATGAGTTTTGCATCTTTTGAAGTTGCGATTCTTCTGCTTTTATTCTTGTCTCTACAGCAGAACGCATCTCAGTGATTCTTATCTACAAAATCAGCATATCTCTGCTGAAGTATTATGCTTTGATAGTCATACTACAACTTCCATACTGCTGTGGCTTTTCATTTTGGTTTAACATTTAAACACCTACTGAAAGGGGAAAGTGAGAGTAATAAATGCACCAGCTAAGGCATTAACAGATTTCACTGTGGCTGCAAAATTACATAAAAGCAGGACTTTAGGTGTTTTCAAAGCAAGATTTCAAATTCTAAAACACCGCATTGCTGATCTGGCCAGATCTGAGGCGTATTGCATATGCATGGTATTGAATCAGACAAACAGCAATATATGTGACATAAAGACAAAACAAAGGACTGCTCTTAGGTTTTAAAGATGAGAAATGGTTTGCTATCTTCAGCAAAGTGTTTCCTTTTACTAAACATCATCTTGATGGCTCTGTGGTATGAGGTATGCTGAATAGCAAGTAAAATATTACCCCTGCTTTTTAGAAGACAGAGATGAAGAGAGTCGTGGAGGAAGAGGGGACAGAACTGAGGATTGAACCTAATATTACCAAGACTCAGTCCAGGCTTGTAACAAGAACAGGCTGCTTAGATTTTTGAAAACTGCTGTTTGTATGTTTCCTCAAGAGGAAAGCAGGTGTGGATTATTAAAAGCAAGGCTTTTTGTGGTGCCTGTTGTCTGTTACTTGTGCTGTTCTTGGTTTTGGGTAACATGGGTTTCATTTGTGTCAAAATTCATCTGCAGCTTTGAAGAATGCATACTTCCTAACTCTGGCACCCAGTCCATTTGGCCCAGTACAGATGTGGAAGATGCTTAATCCTTCAGTTCTTGCATACCTTGTTAGAAGTGAACCTTGATTATGAATCCTTGTAGTTTTGCAACCTTCCCTGTTAGTGGTCAAGTGTGAGGGGTGGAGGTTTCCATTTACCTCATCACAAGTAAAATTCAGAGCTTAGCTTTCTTCAGTTGTTAGTGTGGTTACACACTAGTCCCTATGTAGAACTACCTCTTCTGTTACCTTTTGACCCCAAGTAATTCAATCAGTTCATAAAGTCCATTGTTTTATGTGATGCATTCTTAGCAGTCATTGTTCCATTATACTTAGAGAAATATTCCAAGTGCAATAAGTAGGAAGGGTTGTAAATGTCCTGTCACCACTACTTCAGTAAACAGTGCAGTGATCATACACACCAGCATTCCTATCCACCTTTAGCAGATGTATTGGACAGAGAAAGTGATTTAATTGTGGCAGCTAAACTGTGTGTTCATATTATACATCATGTATATATGAGAAAATGTATCCCAGGCATCTGAATATACTGCAGGTAGAACAACCCCCACATATACATACACACAGAGTGTTGTAATTGTGCAAACTACCTGCAATATGCAATATTACAAAACCAAACAACATCAAAGCAATGGCTTTTTCTCATTTTAGGAAGTCCAGCGTGTCATGGGAAGAGCACCACCAAGACCAGAAAAACATAGGTGCTGGTTTATGAATAAAAAATATTGTAGTTCTACTAAACTTGACCTTCTGAGGTAATGCAATTCTTTTATCCCTAGCTGCAATGGAGGCATTAGGAATGGATCTGTACAAGAGAAACAAACCCGAGAAGCTGCCTTTTGCCCATCTCATTATTGATGATAAGAATATTCCATCTGGTAAGTTCAGTTTTAAGTGAATACTTCTGATGCTACTATAAATGTATTAAACAGTGAAGTATATGAAAGTAGTTCAGCTATACCAGCAACAGATTGGGATTTCAGAAATGGCTTTTGATAATGAGAATAAATTGGTTGCATTAAAGGATTTCAGAGGCAGTAGGGGTAATGTTAATAGGAGGATAGCTCCCTTTTGCTGCCTCAGGTATCTTACATCAGTCCGTTATGTGCTGAATGGCCTCCATTTCAAATGACCAGTTTTCATGAGGGGCTTGGTCTGCCTCCTTATGCTGCCTTCAGGTGAGGAATGGAGATAGCATTGAATGCTCCCTTCTGAAGTTTCTTATTTTCTTTGGCTAGTAGGGCCCATCTGGAGTTCTTCACTCACACCGGACATCAGCTATAGGTATACATACACACAGACATATGCATACATACACACATATATACAAGGATATACCAAGGACAGAATCCTGATCTTGCAGGCTGGAAGATATTACCCTTCCATTGAGTCTGTTTTCTTTTGTCTTGTTGTCAGATGAAGAAATGTGTTGTTTTCTGTTTTGAAATTCAATAATGTCTTATGTCCACCTGTTCAACCCTTCACAGCAATGCTCCTTTTGTGTGCTGAAGTGTAATTGTGTCTGTACTGGATGACACAGCATTTGTCTTCAGGGTGGATCTGGAAGCTGAGAATCTTGTATGAACTCGCTACACACACACACGTTGGGTGCCCATCAGTGTAAGAACTTGCCATAAAAGAAGCATGTCTTTCATTTTGAGGTGTTGAAAACCTAGAACTGCAGTCCCAATGTCATTATTAAACTTGCATCCTAGTTTCCTACCCTCTGTGGGTACACTGCTCTCTCGTAGCATAGGGTTGAATTTACAGCAAGTGTTTCCTTCTGCTAATGGCGTGTTGGAAAGGTTTTGTCGTAAGATATTTATTATTATGTTGCAGGGCTGGTATAGACTTTTTTGCATCAAGCCTCCCAGGGCCTTCCTGATGTTCAGACATGCCAAAGCTTCACAAGGGTCTGCCTGCATCCATCTAGTCCAGTAGCAGGAAAATCAAAGATCATAGCATTGTACTCTGAGCAACAGGGTTTCTGGTCAGTATGTTGACTTTGGGTGCAGTGTGTTTCTGAGCTACTGAGTAGGAGGAAAAAAAAAGTTCCTGTGGATTTTATCTGCCCCTATGGTAAGAGGATGGCATTTATTTTATCTTGCCAGAGCTCATACCCTCTACCCACAGGTATCTTTGGATGGCTTTGGGAATGTCCTTGCTGGTACAATATGAGGGAACAAGACATGAGTCTGCCTTGGAACACTCTCCAGAGGAAAAGATTCATTCCTACAATTTTAAGATATCTTAGTACTGTTTCCTTTCTTGCCCTGGGGCACTGTCAGTTGAGATTTTTCTCTCTGTATTCTCAATACAACAGTCGTTGGTGCGGTAGAAGTAAACCAGAGTTTATTCTGAAGCTATCAGACAGGCTCTCAAGATAGGAGGGGGCATTGATCACCACTTCTTCCTCTGAAGATATATACATTCTGTAGTGCTGAACTCCTTGTTAACTAAGCTATGTGCATTGCTTTTCTGTTTTATATAAGCAAACCAAAGGGGAGTGCTGTGTTGAGGCTTGAAATCTGAGATTTTAGCAGCCTGCATAGAAATACCTTCCTCTTGCTCTATTTAAAGACAAAGTGCTTCTGTACACAAGGAGTTAGCTCCTTGCCTGGAGGGATAGGATTCTTTCTCCCTTCAAGTGCCTTGGCATTGCCAAGATCCAGAGCTTTATAAGCAGAGAGCTTAAGCAGCTTGTCAGATGGCAGTCAGAACTTCTACAAGCTTTCTTATTAGCTCAAATGCCTCCTGACAAGCTTCTGTTTCAGTCAGATTTTGGCTTTTGACATAGGTCAGTAGTAGAAAATGCAGTATCAGTAAACTTGTCTTAGCATTTTGTCTTTGGAAGGATTCAATTAATTTGCTAATCATAGAGACAGATCACGTCTATCTACAGAAGTGGAGTGTGTCAGTGTCACACTTTGTGAAATCCACCTTTTCCTCTGGGAAATTTATTTGCTGTCTACCTGGATGTTGCTGTAAACTGTATTATTATCAGCTGATAATTTTTACTGTTGTGCATTACTTCTAGGGAGTGATGTACCACATCTATAGGTAGTGAAAAGGGAGGTATTGCTCTTGCTTGCTGTCTTCCCTTTTTTTTTTTTAATAGCACAGGCTGCAGGAACTTTCAGAAATACAGTGCCTATGACAACATGCTGCTTTGTTTCCCCTTGGAACAGATCAACCCCTTACCAATGTGATGCATTGGACATGCTCCCTCCTGATCTGGCACATATGGTTTCTGCCTCTTTTGGAGGAGCATTGCCAGGATGTTAATCATGAGCACAGCTTCTGCGGTCCTTGTGGGCATTGCAGCAGTGCGGGGCTCCATCCTTATGGATAGCTGGAACCCAGCATGTCCTGGTTGTGAGGCACTTTAGTATCATGCTCACTGGTATGAGGCAGTACCCACTTGGCTGGGTAGCATAGAGGTTAATGATGGGCATAAAGGATGAAGAATTTGCCTGAGGGTCACCGGCAGATTTTCTCTCCCATCCTGTTTCCTCTGACTGCAAATGGCAATTTGTTTTCTTCCCCTGATTCCTTAACCTATATGTCTGAAATCCTTCTAAATTGTTTTATGCCATCTGTGAGTCTGGACAGAGCTGTTCTTAGTATTTTAAGGTTCTCTACTGTCATCACTCTGACCCAAAATAAACAATGTGCGGGGACGGGGGGGAGAAAAAGTCTTCATCACTGTCAAACAGGATTTTATTTCAAGTAGTTTGCTACTGAACCCCCTTCATGGAGGGGCACTGAGCAGTGTCTGTGAGGGAGCATTTTCCTTTTACCTGGTTCACAATAATATCAAACCCCCAGTGGACTTTTGCAGCTGTGGGAAGTAAGAGGAAGGGGGAAAATAAACCTTCCCAGGTCTTGATGTCCCCACCCATCATTTGGCTGCAGAAGCCGTAGTGGTTTGGCTTGCTCTGTCTATTTTTTAGGTTTCCTGCCTTAGGTCAAAGCTGGATGCTTGCTGGTTGCTTTTTACCAGAGCTCACTATAAATGCTACCTAGGTTTTAAATGAAAACAGTGAATTCTGGTTTATAAATTGATTACAGAAATTAGTTACAGTTTAAAGGAGAAAATTACAAACAGAAATAAATGTAAATGCTAAATATATCATTTGGGATGTGAATTTATACCTTTAGCTGTATAAGGAAACGCTGTAGTATTCTGAGCTATTTGCAGCTACGGGTTCAGCTTAGCTACCCTTTGCCTCCAAAACAGTTTTTCAGTGCAAACAGTTCTTTGGTCCTTCCCTCAGGCTTTATTTATGCTTGAAAGCTACTAGGATACAAACAAATTATCAATACAGGGCTACTTTCTCCTCTGTTCCACTCCCATCATCTTCCTTTTTACTAATTAATTTACTGAAACTAATTTTTATTAGTCTTAGTTTGTGCTCACAAATATCCAAGACATTGTTTTGATTTGTCTTCAGTTACCGGAAAAACTGAGTGTTATCTTGACTTTTTTTTAATGCTTTTTACAATGTCTGGAAGGTTATCTTACTCATTATCTCTCTGACCTCTTCCTTCTCTGTCAACATGACTTACCTTGTGCTATTTTTTCATGGCTCCGTAGTAAATTTTATCACAGAAGATACTGTATTGCAGCATTTCTAACTGTCTCATGGCTTGCGTTATGTTCCAGAGTTTCTGATACATGGACAGCTGATTTGGCACTTGTATGCTCCAGTTTTCTCCTCTGTCTGTGTTTTGGAATACTGATTGTTTTGATGTATTACCACCAGAAGTGCTGAGAGCCTGCTCACTCCTTCCATTAAAGGTTGCATGGCATAACTCCTACCCAAGCATCTTTGTGCTGCTGGCTGTGGCATGTCACTTCTGAAACTCTGAGTTGTGGCAAAATGCCCATCTGCCTCAGTCAATACAATCATAGGTTAGGTTGGAAGGGACTTCCAGAAGTTATCTAGGCTAATCCCCTGCTCAAAACAGGGTCATCTTCCATCATCTCTTGGCCTGTCCTTCCACCTCATCATGGATGAATGATGCATATTCCCCTCAGCACCAAAACAGTGTGAACAAACTTCACCCACAGCTCCTCTCAGCATCTTGATTACAAGCAACTGTGGCACCTATTTTCTCTCTTCCCCCTTCTTCAGCAGAGAATCATGCATTCCCACTAAGGATTTCTTCAAAATTGCTACTTCATTAAGACTGGCAACTAAAAAGTTCACTTACCAGGTAAATGAAATCTGCCTAGCAACTACCCAGTGTGCCACCAGTCAGTCACATCATGCCAAGCATGCCTTCCTGTTCTGTCATGTATACATTCCTAGCCCATATCTCTGATGTGCCTCTCTGTCATTCCAAGCAGTGATTTCTTGCCGTCTTGAAGGTAGCCCATCCTCCTTCAGGCAGTATTTCTGTCAGACTTAACACAGAGCACAAGAAGTTCTACAACTTCCTCAGCTATCCCCAGCGCTTCAGAGGTGTACTCTGGTACTCCTGTCTCAGCATCTCTTGCAGGTGAATAATTCCAGGCTAAGAGACTTAAAATCTTAGTGGTGCTTCCAATTAATTGATGGTTTTTAGAAGTTGTTTTGTGAGGCACTGCACAGAAGGTGGTTTCTCTGTATGATTTTGTGTAATTTCGAGCTGGCTGTACTGGAGCCATAGGGGAGCAACTATTTATGATCTGCCTTTGACAGCCTGTGCTTTGCTCAAGTCTTTGTGGAAGAATGCCAGAAGCTTTTTGTTCTGGGCTACTGTTAAAGTATTCCTCTCACATGCAGAAGTTGCTTGCCCTTGGCACTTAGGGAAAACTCAGTAGCTCTCAAATTCCCCTGTCCTTACTTTCCCACACCTCTTTCTGCACAAACAAATCCAGGAGGCATCTTATTTAACTAATCAAATATACCTGGAGCTTTTCCCCAGCATGCTTGTGAGCAACGGTGGTTCTGGGGCATGCCTTGATACATGCTTGGAAGAGAGGGTGCTGGGCCCTGCCATAGGCTGTGGAAGTTTTGGTGGGAGTAGATTGTTTTGGTTTGATTTGGGGACAGTAAGGTACTGAATATTCCAAGCAGGCATTTAGATGCACTGAGAGCCTGAGCTGTAAGGTCTTCTGGTGCTGTGTGGACCCGCTGCTGTGGGTGCTTCAGAGGGAGTGAATGGAGTTAGTCTTGTGTGCTGAAAATTGCTAGTGGTTATTAGGAGGACAAGTTGGCCAACTCTAATCTGTTGTGTTATGCCCCATGTATTACCCTGAATAAATGGAGGAGTGTTGGTGGCTTGTGCATGTCAGGAAGGGTCAGGGCCTGTGTGGCTTTCTCAGGACAGTGCTGTTTCCTCTGTGGGCATGCCCGTGTGCCTTGGCTGGCTCTTCTCCCACTGTTGCCTGTTTCTCTGTTTTTGCAGACAGAGGCTGTGAGATGAGAGATGGGTGCTATAAGGGGATGGTGGTAAAGCTGGAGAGGTGGAAGGGACTGGGGGATGTGTGCTGCAGGGCATGTTCCTCAACAGAAAATACCATGATAAACCTGTACATAATACACATGCTGTAGTAGCAATGCTAACTAGGCTGACGTTGTAGGCTGCTTCTTAACACTGTGCCACCAAAACCAAACTGAAGTGTCAAACGTGACCAGGTTTGGAAGGAAGACTCAAATGCTCTCTCTCAGGGCCTATCTGACCTTCTGCCAGGCCATCTCTTAGCACAGCCTCAATAGTAGAATTGTAGAACATCTTGAGTTGGAAAGGACCCAAAAGGATCATTGAGTCCAACTCCCTGCTCCTCACAGGACTACCTAAAAGTAAACCATATGACTAAGAGCATTGTCCAGATGCTCCTTGAACTCTGATGGGAGTCAGCTCCCTGGGGAGCCTGTTCCAGTGACCAACCACCCTCTCAGTGAAGAGCATTTTCCTAATGTCCAAGGAACCTTTTCCTACTGTCCAGGATCTACATGAAACATCATCTGAGATGTGACCAGCTTGAAACCTCCAAGAATTGATACAATGTGGATACTTGATGATAGCATCCAGGAGGTGCCTTTTGGGCCAGAGTTCCTGGGGGACAGCTGTACCTGTATATGTGAAGTTAGCTTTCAGTGACAGTGCTGAGCTGAAAAACAAATCAAAACATCTCCAGTCTCTCAGCTCCTTTTCGTTCTCTTCACAGAGCATTCAGTCACCTTAAGAGATAAGGGACAGCTTCCTGTTTACCAGGCCACCATCATGCAGGCAGAGCTGAAAAGGCTTACGTGTACCTCTTACAAGGAATTCAATAAAGCTTGTTTACATATGTTAAATTCTATTAATCTGTCCTTTTTGGTAGTCAGACTTGGTAACTGTTATATGTATATTTTGATTCCCGCATGTGTGATGTCCTACGGAGAGACAGAGAGTATTATCATAATTTTCTTTCCTAACTTGTGGATCTCCAGCTTAAGACAGCTTGAAGGGGACTGTTATCCTCCAAGCATGGAATATCAGTTCATTGTTTCTAGTTTGAAACTTAAGATACTTTAAAATAAATAAAAATAAGAAAAGGGAAAAAAAGAGCAACGCATCCAGAATCCCATCTGTTTTCCCTAAAGCTTTTTTTCTAAGACTTTCCACTGGATATTAGACAAAGGATCTGAGTTTACCTTCGGAATAGCTATAATTGCCCAGCTATAAGTATTTGTATAATTTTCAAAGAATTAGGATTGTACTGTGGGCCACTGTCCTAGATGTCTAGGGTATGACTAAACTAGATGGTGGAGCCTTATTCTGGTACAGGCAAGCACTGGGTTAACTATCAACACTGTTTATGCATAAAAAGGTTTGTTATGTCATAAATACTTGAAGTGTTTCCAAAAGCCTCGGCAACTTATGGTGTAGTATTAAAGATGCACAACTGTACTGATTTTTTTCCCCCTTTTCTTTGATGTTATCAAGTAAAAATATGTTTACCTTTGTATCACTACTGCCACAAGAACATGAAATATGGGAAGGTTTCAGAAGCTTCCTCTCTGGGGAATTATCAGTTTAACTTGTTTTCAGATTTTGCGTAATTATTCCTTGCAAACACTTACAGGTTAAAGACTGATAACAAGATTTGCTGTTTTTTCATCAGTGACTTTTCAAATTCCTCTCAAGTATTTGTTACTTGAAAAGAGTTTTACGTGGAACGCAATTTCCATACAATGCTTGTTGCACAATTGCTTAGCGTAATCAAACTATTGGCCAAGTAAATGTTTCGTACCATGGTCCAGCAGCTGTTCTGTGGAAAGGCAGACAATAAATAGCGAGCCAAACTTGGCAGTATGTGATGAACAAAAGGAAATTTCTTACTAATTTTTACCATAATTGTCTAATACTCACTTTAGCCTATATAACTCTAGTTGCTATTGATTCTTAAAACCTGGGGATTGGTTTCTAAATGTTGAGTTTTGTTAAATGTTTGTAAATAATTTTTTTTTCTCCCCTCTCTTCAGGAACTCGCAAAGTGAACCTCACATCCTGGCATCATGACAAAGGCCAGGCAAACTTATCAAATATGACATTCAATGATGGAAAGCTAATTGTTATTCAAGATGGATTTTACTACCTTTATGCCAACATTTGTTTTAGACATCATGAAACTTCAGGGAACCTGACTAAAAGAGGCCTTCAGCTGATGGTGTATATGACCAAGACAAACCTTAAAATAAGGCGCTCTGATGTGTTGATGAAGGGAGGAAGCACCAAATACTGGTCAGGGAATTCAGAATTTCATTTTTATTCTGTCAATGTAGGAGGGTTTTTTAAGTTAAAATCTGGTGAAATGATAAGTATCCAGGTATCAAACCCATTGCTACTGGATTCATCACAAGAAGCAACTTACTTTGGGGCGTTTAAAGTACGGGATTTAGACTGAATCTTTCTTTAGCGTGCTGAAAATTGTTTGGGGGTTTAGTGGTCCAGAAACAACTTGAAGACAGAACTGAAAATGTTTTGCAACCCAATTGCATCTGTATAAGCCATATATCTAAAGACACGTTTTTGCCCTGTGCTGACTCCAGTGGGAGTCCCATGAATGCGCAGAAGGGCAAAATGACATAGTTCTCGTGATTCAGTCTTATAGCAGTTTTACTTTGTATGTCTCCACTGGCTCCAGTACAGCCAGTAGGACTTTTACATTGGTGTAGTTGAAACCAGAGCAATTAATGTTATTGAACTTCTGTTTCCAAGTTCTGCCCTGAATTTTTAACCCCTGCTACTCTCACTAGTTTTGGCGCAAACACAGGGCGGGACAGAACTTGGCTCCCAACTTGCATTTAGGGCTCAGTTTTGCTTGGGGCTGAGCGTTCTGACCCTGAGACGGCAAAGATTGTGAAAGTGTGACTAATCCCATTGCATTTGATGTGGCTTTTCACATGCTTAGTTAAGCCTGCTCTTGCTTTGCCGGATTAGTGTTGGGAGGGCTCAGGCTGTGGCAGAAATGAGTTGCAGAACACCTAAATGGTTCAGCTTAGCCCTTTTAATCAGGTAAAAACCTATTCCAGGAAGAAGGGAGATCGTCTGGCCTTGCAGTTCTAAAAGGTTAATTACAGGTCATTTTTATTATTGTTGCACAGTTAATTGCAAATATAGACTGCCAAAATACCATGTGCCTTTGAAGTATTACATTGTGCCAGAACCTGCAAAGACATTTTTTAAGCAAAAAGTATGTATTTTTATATTCTGTAATATCTAAAGTTATATTTCAGGTGTAATGTTTTGTGTAAAAGAAAAAAAATAATGTAAATTATATTGTCCTATAGTATTTGATACAAAATATTTAAAATCTCTTGCTGTTTGTATATTTAATGTTTTAAACTGTTCTTAATGTACAGACATGTTAAACTGGTGCACTTTTTAATCCCAATGGGAAAAACTGCAGCTAAAAGAGGTTGTTTGCAATTAGCAAATGTAATATATATCTTTGTTCTTTTTAACTTAATAGATGGCTGTCAAACTTGTCAGTATTATTGGGAGGGGGGGAATCACACCAATGTCATGAAGAATTACGCCAGAATGCTGGTCACTGGGTGCCTTTCAAACTTGGAGGGTAATTGCCATTACAAAGCTGGCATTACCTAAAAAAATTGAAAAAATTAATAAGTTAAATAAGTAATAAGTCGCAGAAATATATTAGGGGTATTTATAGTTACTGAACAGGCATATTTTCCTACAGCAAAACCTGCAAGTTGTAAATTCTGCAGTTGAGTAATGACTTTTTTAGCTTAGTTTCCTGAAAAAGTGACGTGTATGTCATTGCATTGCCTGTCCTTGTCTCCCCTTCCAGCTTTTAAAACCCTGCACCCTTCTGCCCGGTTTGGCAGACGAATGGCAGTGTTAAGAGAGATTCTACATGTTTTATGTGAACAGAGAGCTGAGAACCACTCAGCCATTACACATCATTTGTCAGTGGCTGGCCACCGTCCATATTAGCCAACAAAATAATACGGGGAGACTCCTAGCTGGCTGCAAGGGGTGTTGTCGCTTGTATAGTCGCTTGGCCAAAAGAGGTGGGTGGATGGACTCAGAGGGTGGGTACTGGGGGGGATGGAGGAGCGGGCTGCAAATACTGTGGGTGATGTTTAGAGCACATCTGGGCAGGGAAGAGCAACTTACAGAATCATAGAATTGTTTAGGTTGGAAAAGACCTTTAAGATCATCAAGCCCAACTGTGACTTGTTGGGGAAGGGGGTGAGGGAGGGTTTAGGAGTGTTTGTCTGGGTGCTCTGAGGATGATGGGGGGGAGAACCTGCTCTTTAGTGCAGTAGGACTCACAGAAGGCAAAAGACTCAAATCTGTAGGAATTGAGGCTTCATACAAATCCTCAGGCTTTTTTTTTTTTAATAAGGAACTGAATTGAATTCAAGCAATTATTTTATACTGTATAATAAACATTTCTTTTTAATGTTAATATTGTTTTCTTACAAAATATATTTCTAAGAAAAAAAAATCAACTTTGTGATTTCTTTATTTTCCTGTGTCCCTGTATTTCTTGCTCTCATTCCATCATTTTGGTCACATTTCAGGACATGCAGGCTGGGTATGGTGTATCTGCCTCAAGAAAACTGAGGCACAAATCGACTATTTTGAGACTATTACAGTCAATTTTATGGGGTTTTGATTTGGCTCAGAACATTCATCCACCACTTTCAAGTAGGGTTGCATCATCAGGGGTTGGAAATGTAGCTGGAAGTGAGGCTTTCCCATTTATGTTTTACACCAAATGGCTGTCAGTTCAGTTGGAGAAATGACTGAAGAATTTGGGGCTTTTTTTTTTTTTATATGTTTCAAGAGCTACAGGTCACACTCAAAGAACTGTATTTTTTTCCACTATAGAGGTGTCTATTGGCAGTCTGGGAGAAAAAAAAGTCTCCTGTTTCTGACTCTTCTGGGGTTGAAGTCACCCTCTGGGGAGGTAGAGATGGGGCTTCGGATGATTTGAAAGTTGAGTTAGACTTAGCACGTGGCAGCTGACTTTAGCACATGCTCTGCCTGTGTCTGGCACTAAATGTTAACAGGATGGCAGCGGCTGTGGGCTGCGAGGGTGTGCTAGGGAAGGTCGCAGCACCCGTGGTGTGTGTTGAGCCCCTGGGAGGAGACTTGGTGGTTACCTGTGTGTCCAAAGCCACCAGAGGTTACAAGGAGGCTCTTTGAGGCTCAGGTCTAGTAGCGCGTGTCTCTGCTCCTGAGGCACCTGAATTTCACAATGCAACATGGGGCTTTACATTTCCCTCATGTGATCACTTTGGGACCTAAATGATTTTTGGTTTGGTTGGTTGGTTTTGGTGTTTTTTGGTTTTTTTTTTTTTTTGCTTTAGTGTCCTCTGGATGCAATCTGCCTGGCTGTGTGATGAACTAGGTGGGAGGGATGTGACAAAATAGTCCTCGCGAGGCTATGTAGGCTACCCTGGGGGTTATAAGTAGGAGCCACGCTCCGGCTAGTCTCTCTATAAAACAGAAAGCAAATGGGAGGTCCTATTCTGCCAGTCTTGCCCTGGCCCTCGTCCCATCTTACCCTTAGGTGCATTTAAAAGCAAGCAGGAAACTCCAGGTAGAGCTGTTAGTACCGTTTGCTTTTGCTCTCTCTATCAGAGCAGCCCCAGGTTGAAAAGTTTAGAATCATAGAATCATTTAGGTTGGAAAAGACCTTTAAGATCATCAAGTCCAACCATTAAAGTTGAGGCAGCCTGGGTGCATATGCCAAGAGGGTAAAGTAAAACCACCTGTTCTAGCACCTACCTTTCGAAACCCGAATCTTGCCCCCCAGAAGTGTCTGTTCTTTTCTGTCTGCTTCGTTTATTTGATTGTTTCATCAGGACACAATTAATGAAAAGAGTAGACTAATCAATTAATGAAGAGAGTGACCTTGAGAAGAAGGTAATGCTTTCTTGGCCAAGAAAGGTACACATGGCTCCTATTTTATAATCTTCAAACGAGCTGTTTGGTCTGTGGATAGAGGATGATTATTTGCTGAAATTTGATGTTAAAAAAAAAAAATCTTGGAAGCAGCCGATTTGGAATTCAGTGTATTTGTGTGCATGTAAACATCCGTATATTCTTACTGTGTTCTTGCTAAAAACCTAAATTTTCATACATGGGGTTACGATTGCATATTTTGGCACCTGGGTACTCCTCCCCCCGCCTTCCCAAGCTCTTTCCAGCCAGTGAGTGTTTCTTTTTCTGTCTATCCCACTTCCTTTTCTCTGGCTCCTTCCAGCTGCCAGCGTCTCCTGCTCACCCCGCTCTCACTGCCTTGCAGCTCTTTTTCCTGGTGGTAGCGACAGCCTTGGCTTAGAGCTAGGCATACTTCCCCTTATTTGGCCCACTTTCAGGTGGCTTTGTCGTGCCTTTGGATAGAAAGCAACAAGAATTATGTTCGTCAGAAAGCTTTGTGAAGCCTTGGATAGGAACGAAGAAAAAGCAGTTGGGGAACTCAGGAACCAGGAGATGGGACACACGAAGCAGTCCATGCTGCCCTTGGGTTTGAGGTACCGGCTTTGGAAGGCTCCAAGCAATTGTCGCATGCTTATACATCTGCTGTTACAAAATCAGCCTCCAGCAAAACTTCACAGACGTGGCCATCCGTGGCATTTTGCTGCGGCGATTTGAGAAAACTCCCATCTGAAGCAAAAAGTGTTCGTACACGTATATGCAGGCAATTTCTTGTTCTTTCTCCCTCTCCGTATTGGTTTCTCGTCCAGTTTTTCCTGGTTGCTGGTATTCGGGATCACAACCTGGGGACTTTGCCAACTACTGTGGTTTTTTGGTTTTTTTTTAACTCACTGGGATCTAACCCTGTAGATCCCATACCTTTGCCTAATGTCATTTGCGACTAACTCCAAAGCAAAGCTTGGTCATGAAAAGCTGAGAAACCTGGGTCAGCTTGAGGTTGTTTAAATCAGGCTTCACAAGTTTCTAGGCAACTTCAGATGTTTCGTTTTTTCTGCTTTTTTTAGCCTTAAGTCTGAATGTGCTGGGGCTTCTAGCGGTTTGCAGCTGCCTGTTCACAATCCATTTTGTGAAGTTTAGGGAGGGCACATCTTCCTGCCGTTCGTTCAGCATTTGAGCCATGTGCTCTCTGCCACCTGCCCTCTTGCCTGAGACGCGTTGCTTTCCCCCAGACCACACATCACCGCGTTCCAGTCAATTTATGTTTGGCTGGGACAGAAGACAAGCAGGAACTCCAATTGCTTTCAGCTCCTGACATACTGCAAGTCACAAAATGATAGATTCATTTTTCCAGCCTTCTGGTTCTTGATTCATTCGCCGCGTGAGAGATCCCTGGTTGTTCGTTTAGCAGAGGATGCCAGAATCCCTCTTTGACCACCAGTAGCACATTTTAGGCGCTATCACGTCTTCATGTCGCTGCTGCCTCAT